GCGGCGGGAGCGATGCTTGGCCTGAGACCGATGTCCCGCGAGCAGCACCTGACACCTCGGGGCGTGTGCTGCAGGAGAAGCGCAGAAGTGGCTGGAGTACAAAGCAGAAAGGAGCGGCCGAAGGGTCCTCCCAGGGAAGGTTTATCTGTCCTTGGAGCCCAGCTTCTCAATCAGTTCCTGCAGAGGAGCCAGCTCCCGCCTGTCGATCAAGTTGAATTCCTGGCAGGGGGGAAAAAACGCCACAAAAACTAAAGGCACCTCTCAAATTGCTGCTGGAAAACACACAAACGTGCTGGAACTCGCTTGGAGACAACCACCAAACAGGCATCACTGCAGCAGCCGCCTCTCCTGTTTCTCTACAGAGAAATTCTGGCCTTTCAAGACAACTAAACTTTTTCTGCTGCGTTGCTGAGGACAGTGCTGCTCCGCACCGCAGCCAGGTACAGCCTGTTGTTAAAATACTGGCAAGGAAAAAAAAGGTGGTGGTGGTGCTGAGCTGATTCTTGGGAGTTTTGTAGTTCAAGTTCTCCTCCCAGCCTGGCTGCTTTTGCTGCAGCCGAAAGTGAGAAATTGAGAGGGAAATTCAAGCATTTACAGCCAACTCAGCCACTCCTCCTGCAAGAAAAACCAAACCCACACCACCACAGCCGCACGGTGCGGGAGCTGCGTATCTCCCAGCACCCACCACAGCTGTAGAGCTGCAAAGAGATGCCGAAAATCCCAACTCCCTTCAAAAGCAAAGAGGGAAGAAGAAACCCGAGGCACTGGCTGCCATTTTGCGACTCACCTGCACGAAGAAGATAAAGTGCTTGAAGGAGGTGTTGAGGTGCGCCTCCTCCTGCAGCCGCATGACGGAATCGAAGTGCTGGTGGTAGATGTGGGCATACACCCGGAACAGCCGCTTCAGGATCGTCTTGGCCACTGACATGAAGTTCTTGGGAAAAGGGACACCTGGAACACACCAACGTGCTCGGATAAGCCTTTTGGTTTGGTCAGAAGTGCCGGAGCAGGATGTTCCAGCACTGTCTCAGCCCCATACACGAGGGTCACAGAATCACAGACTGGTTTGGGTTGGAAGGGACCTCAAAGACCATCCAGTTCCAATCCCCCTGCCATGGCCACTGACATGAAGTTCTTGGGAAAAGGGACACCTGGAACACACCAACGTGCTCGGATAAGCCTTTTGGTTTGGTCAGAAGTGCCGGAGCAGGATGTTCCAGCACTGTCTCAGCCCCATACACGAGGGTCACAGAATCACAGACTGGTTTGGGTTGGAAGGGACCTCAAAGACCATCCAGTTCCAATCCCCCTGCCATGGGCAGGGACACCCTCCACTACACCAGGTTGCCCAAAACCTCATCCAACCTGGCCTTGAACACTTCCAGGGATGGGGCAGCCACAGCTTCTCTGGGCAACCTGCTCCAGTGCCTCACCACCCTCAGAGTGAAAAATTTCTTCCTTAGATCTAATCTAAATTTCCCCTCTTTCAGTTCAAAGCCATTGCCCCGTGTCCTGTCACTACACACCCTTGCCCAACGCACCTCTCCAGCTTTCTTGGAGCCTCTTTG